CAAGAAGGGGGATAAGAAGAGGGGAGGGGGGATAAGAAGAGGGGAGGGGGGAATAAGAAGAGGGGAGGGAGGGGAATAAGAAGAGGGGAGGAGGGGAATAAAAAGAGGGGATAAGGGGAATAAGAAGAGGGGAGGAGGGGAATAAAAAGAGGGGATAGGGGGAATAAGAAGAGGGGAGGGAGGGGAATAAGAAGAGGGGAGATAAGAAAAAGAGGGGGTAAGAAGAAGAAGGGGTGAGTAAGAAAAAGATGGGGGAGTAAGAAGAAGAAGAGGAGGGAGTAAGAAGAAGAGGAGGGAGTAAGAAAAAGAGGGGGGAGTAAGAAGAAGAAGAGGGGGGAGTAAGAAGAGGGAGAGGGGGAATAAGAAAAGGGGGAGGGCGGAGTAAGAGGGAGAGGGGGAATAAGAAAAGGGGGAGGGCGGAGTAAGAAGGAGGGGAGATAAGAAAAAGAGGGGGGTAAGAAGAAGAAGAAGGGGTGAGTAAGAAAAAGAGTGGGGAGTAAGAAGAAGAAGAGTGGGGAGTAAGAAGAAGAAGAGGGGGTAAGAAGAAGGGTGAGTATGAAGAAATGGGGGGAGTAAGAAGAAGAAGGGGGAGGAAGAGGAAGAAGAATAAGGGGGGTAAGAAGAAGAAGGGGAGCAATAAGAAGAAGGGGGCTTAAGAAGAACAGGTGGGGGAGTAAGACGACCAAGGGGGGAAGTATGAAGAACACAGGGAGGAGGGGGGTAAGACGAACACAGCGGGTGTGAGGAGAACACATAGAGGGAGGAGTGAGAAGAGCACAGGGAGGGTGGGTGAGTGTGAGAAGAGACCGCTAGGGGAGGGTGGGGGAGAGGAGAGACCGCTAGGGGAGGGTGGGGGAGAGGAGAGACCACTAAGGTGCAGGGGAGAGCTCTACGGGACAGAAGGGGCAGCTCTATAGGACAGGGGCCAAGACAGGGAGCTCTTTCACACTACGCGCGCGCACACACACACAATGCATCCCTATACATACACAGAAACACAACATGCTTCCCTTACACACAGAGAAACACACAATGCATCCATTACACACACACACACAATGCAACCCTTACACACAAAGACAATGTATCCTTTGCACACATACACAGAAACAGACAATGCAAACCCGTACACACACATGCAAACACACACACTTCTTTTCTTACATACACACAGAAACACAATGCATCTCTTACACTCAATGCACACACATACAGACACACACCTTGCATCCCTTATGCATACAAACACAGATTCACACAATGCATCCCTTACACACAACCAGAAACACATAATACATCCCTTATACACAAATACACACTGCTTCCACTACACACAAACACACTACATCACCTGCACAAACTGGTAACCCTATACACTACATACCATAAGCACACATATTAGATCCTCTACAATAACACATAACACATCCCCTACACACTCCACTCCCTGTGAGCGAACTCATGGGTGGGTGGAACTTATGAGTGGGCCTTATGGGCATACTCACCGTCAGGCCCTGGGGCCCAGACCTTGAGCTGTGTAAGGGGCCCCAAAAAATGGAGCTGCTTCCAATTCTCCCAGAACATTGAATTTTGTGACCACAGCTGCAAACAGCCTCCAGAGATCCTGTTCTACACCAGACCAGTGGAGCCAAACTGCAGCCCATCATCATCCTCATCTGCTTGTAAGTAGGCAATCTAGTATATTATTAGTGACACTAATCTATAATGTACCTCACATTAAAGGGACACTATAGCTTAATGAAGTGGTTCTGGTGTCTATAGCTGGTCCCTGCAGGCTTTTTAATGTAAACACACACTGTGTGCAGCACTGGCGTTAGTTCATATGGGTGGGGCATTGTGATGTCACATGGGGGGGGCAGCAAATTTTTATTTTGTCTAGGGCGGCAAAAATCCTTGCACCGGCACTGATCCTGGGCAGGTGCACCAGTCTACTGGTGACCCACAGGAGGGGAGTGCACTGATTGCACTGCACTCTCCTCCTGTCCAGCCCCATCTTTACCGCAGTGCAAGTGCCCTCTGCCCCTAATTTACAGTGGCTCACACTCACAACAAGCAGTGCCTGGAGCCGTGAAGGAGCGGGTATGGCAAAGAGCTACTGATTAGCATAACATCAATATCCGTTATAAAACCAGGAAAAGGTGGGCATGGATGGTGAACTGATTTGGTGGTGCAATGGGCCACTTGACTGGTTTTGCCCCCCAGGCCTAAGGCTGCCAGCCCTCCCCTGCTGCCTGTGATAATTAAGTTAGCCCATTGTGTCGAGATAATTGTATCACAGGCAGAGGGGATGGTTTGTGTGCTTTGGCCGGGAGTGTCTGACTGTATTGTAATGTGTTTGATTAGCTGTTCCACAAGACCATGTGGGGGGTAACCTTGTGGAAAATCTTGCATAAAAGAAAGTCCTTTGGTGCTTATTAAACAGATCATCTTGTACCTTCATGAAGTTTCGGCTCATGTTTGGGGGATTGGAGAACTACACTCTGGGGATTGCTATAATCACTATACTCCCCAGGGTATAATCACTAAGCTCTGCTACGAGCTTGTTCCTGTTCCTGCTCTTTGGAATTCGGAGAGGTCGACCTACTGGAAGATGGACCCTGGTCTTGGGTCCAGAGTGGGTGGCGACAGGGAGACCCCAACGAAGCTGTGGCGGTTTGTGGGAGTCTACAGTGGTTATGGTGTCTGGCGGAGTGCTTGGAGTCCTTGGGAAGCACTAGGAGCATCCATGAACGAAAGGTACGCGGTCGGGTTGCAAGCGGTTCCGTTACAATGGTGGCAGTGGTGGGATGGCGTCCTAACTAACTATATTGATTAAATATATATATATATATATATATATATATATATATATATATATATATATATTGTGACAAAAGTACTCCTTTCCCTTGGTACCTTGTCCTGGGATTGGGGTGTTACACACAGTCTTTTCAGGCTTTAGAGACACTTCACACGCTGGATGAGGTAAACTGACTTGCTCTTTTATTGAGGTTCCAAAATAAATGCACAGTAAGGTATAAAGGTAACAAAAATATATCAAACAAAAGCCTTGCTCTTCTGAGCACTAACTAAACAAAATAATCAGCTAACTGGGTTGGATGGCTTGTCCATTTCCAACATAAACATAAACATAAACATAAACAGCCTTACTGCTTCAGGGTTTTCAGCTCTCTGTTTCCACTCACAGAAACCAAACACAATCTCTCTTCTTCCTTGGCAGGGGAGTACTTAATAGCACTGGTAATTGACAATCCTTTTCAGGTGAGTTAGATTAGGATTCAAACTCCAGAACTGGACTTCTCACCAAGCAACTTCCAAAATGTGGAGTGGAGCACTGGCCCACCCTACTCTCCAGGTGCTCCACCCCAGGGCCCAAATATACACATATTTAAAGTGCAACATTCATTAGAACATAACACATTTCCCTGGGGCTAATTACACAAAGTAAGAACCTTGCAAAATCTGGGGAGGTATATAGGTTCCTTCCAGCACAATTCCTTGCTTTCTGTCACAATATATATATATATACATATACACACACATATATACACTTCATAATTTACAACAGCTCATGATATCCTTCCAGTATTTTCTAATCGACAAAACCCCACTGCAGACATTTCCCACTCAAGTGGATACAAAAACTTGTGTATTGCTATTTATTTTTATTATATCTGTTGGTATGCGCTGTGTTCTTTTCAATGCATGTTTTTCAATAAATCTTCAGTGAAAACTTTAGGAATAACTCTAGATGTATAGTCCAGGCCACATGCCCTCGAATGTAAAAATTAAATCACTGAAGATGATAATTCTCTGTTTATTGCTACAGACTGTAGATTGGGCTACCCGTGTATGCATATTTCATCAGTTTCCAGTTTGGATTATTCTAAAGACGAGGTACAGTAAGAAAATAGTAGACTTGGAGATTTGTTTCATTACTGCAATTCATTAGAATGTTGTCCTTCTGGGTGATTCTCCAAATTCCTGATTTTCTGAACCTGCAATAAACTAATCACAAATCTAATCACTCCCGTAATCGGCAACATTCTTGTTTGTTTCATGATTTTGAGTTCTGTCCAGCCAAAAAAAGGCAAGACTGATGGTTCAAAAAGATGATGGATGTGTAGGTGACAATCACTAAA